GTCGGAGCCCCCCCTCCCCTGCGATGGCCGTGGTCCTCTCCCCGTCCACGGCTGTTCCACAGGGCCCAGGGCTCTCCAGAGGCCAGGTTTCCATATCCAGATTGTTCTCCCACCAGCCCCATCAGGACTCACCGAGCCATGTGGCTTTGGGGCTGCCGCCCACACCGCATGTGACACCGTGTTCACCCAACTCAGAGGGGCCCCCACCCCAGCACAGACCTCCTCTGTCCTTTTGCTCGTCCTCGGCCAGCCTGGCCCGGTGGACGGCAGCCCCGCCACCTCCTGAAGGGAGTGAGGGTGCCTCGGGGAGCAGGGGAGAAAGTTCTCCTCTGAGGCCGGGGTCTGCGTGGCTGTTCAGGCCGCGCGATGGCTCCAGATTCAGGGTGGAAATGCCCGTGGTGCACCACCAGCTGGTGACTGCCTGGTCTTCCCCACGTAAAAGGTGCGGACGCTAGAACGACACCTCCCCCAGCACGCCATGCCCCCCGCCCCCTGCCTGGCTCCCCCCAGGTGTCCCAGGCAGCAAGGTCCCCCAGCAGCATGACCCCTCCTTCCATCATCCCTTGCCCCAAGGTGTGCGTGGGGTTTGCTCCACTGGCCAAAACCAGCTAAGGCTCAGCCTGACACCACAAGTCCTGTCTGACAAATGACCTCAGTGACCACATCTTCTGGGGGATTCATTTTCCGAGAGAACCAGGGGCTCGAAGACACAGATGCACGGACCCACCTTAAGTAGCAGCTCAGGAGGGCCTTAAGCAAAGAAGAGGCCTCTCCCGCTGACCAGAGACCCTGCCAAGCTAACCAAGGGCCTGGAACAGCAGGCGGGGAGGTCAGAAGCTGTGCCCGGCCCCAGTGGAGAAAGCATGAGTCCCACCCAGGGGCGCCCCAGCCAGGAGTCCAGGGATGCAGACCTCAGACGCCAGGCAGAGGGTGGCTCTCAGAGCAGAGCCCAGCGCGGAGGGGGAGGGAGGTGAGGGCGGGGCCCGCCATCCAGACCCCAGCCCCACGCACCGGTTCCGGGAGGACAGCATCTTCAGGGTGTTTCCTGGCGTGAGGGTCAGCATGACCCCCTCGATGTTCTTCGTGGCCCTTCCCCACCACAAAGTCCTTCTCTCCTGAGGCCACGGCGAGAATGTACCAGGACCCGAGGAGCTGATGGAGGAGGAACGGGTGAGGGGGCCTGTCCCTCCAGCCCTGGCCCATCCTCTTGATCTGGGGGCCCTGACGCAGGCTTCCACCCACAGCCCCCGTGGTCTGGGCTGGCACTGGGGAAGCCGAGAGGCCATGCGGACACAAGGCCTGTGCTGGCACAAGAGGGCTGTCACCTGCCGAGGGTCCAGCCTCCCCAGCCACACGGCCCGGGCCCTGGGCACCAAGACCAAAGCCAGAAGGGCAGCCAGAAGCACACCCCTCATCCTCGCAGCGGTCTGCACACCAGCACACCTGCGCGGGGGTGAGTGAGCCCTCCAGCCCCTGGAAGCCTGTTTATACGGCTCTGAATGCACTGCTGTGGGCGGCCGCTAGCCGCCGGGGCACCATCCTGACCTCTCTTCTCGCAAGGTGGCAAAAGTACCGGGGCGGTGGTGGGGGGGCGGGGTAATTAATCCTCCAGACGTGCCGGAGAGTGGGCCGTGGGCCCTGGGGAGCGTGTGCGAAGCCCCTCCTACGTAGACACATTCGTGCCATCCCCGCTTATCTCACTTGGAAGGTTCCAGAACGAGCATCCAGCCCTCAGCCACACCATCCCCTCCCCTCCCCTCCTCTCCGGGGAGCCAACAGTCTCTGGCTCAGTCTGGGCGGGCCAGGGACCCTGCCCTTGAATCCAGGCCAAGGTCATGTCTGAGGAGCGGGGCAAGAACAAGCAGTCCCTCCAGAAGCTGCAGCTGTGCATATCTTTTGTTTTCATCCTCAAAAGTATGAAGAGACCCCGTGCAGCTTTTTAGAAAGCTCCCACCTCCTCCCGGCCCAGCAACCCTCCCGCTCTGCGGGCTGCGGGCTCCTGCCCCATCATGGCAACACCCAGTGGAACGCCCTGTTCCTTCCGCCCGCTGCTTGCCCGTCTGGACCTGCCCACTCTCTGACAGCCTCACCCTGCTGCCTCCTACCCCTGCTCACCATGACCCTGGCCAGGGCCCCAAGGCCACATGGGAGCTCTCCCTGGGCCTGGGCTGCCCGCCCTGGGTCATCGGAGACCCTGCCTGGGAGTGAAGGGCAGGGGGCTCGGCAGGATCTGTCTGAGCCCCCGAAACCCAGGCGGAAGTAACTGGGAAGATGCCTCGCCGGGGTGGGGGACCCTGCATGCCACAGCTTCCAGACCCCTCTGCTGGTTGGCTTCCAGGGGTGCTGTGGACACAGAACAGGCAGGGTTTGGAAGGTGAGGACTGATGAAGCCATCTGTCCTGCCGGGCCTTCCCAGGAGGGACCTCGGCCAAGCCAGCACCCCAGCCCTGCTTGGAAGATGAGCCCTGCGGGAAAGGGGATGAAAGTAAGCCCGCCGCACACAGACTTGCAGCTAAGCCTTGCCCTGCCTCGGGGCCCAGAGAGCCTCAAGCCTGAGCTTGGATGGGGGTGGTCCCTGACCACCAGCCTCCCAGATGCCTGACGGAAGAAAATGACAATAAAAGGCAAAAACATCATCCCGACCTTCACATTAACCCTGTTCGTTATTTTTTCAAGTTCAGTTTCCTAAAAAAACACTTAGGAGGGCTTCCCTGGTGGCGCAGTGGTTGAGAGTCTGCCTGCCGATGCAGGGGACACGGGTTCGTGCCCCGGTCCGGGAAGATCCCACATGCCGCGGAGCAGCTGGGCCCGTGAGCCATGGCCGCTGAGCCTGCGCATCCGGAGCCTGTGCTCCGTAACAGGAGAGGCCACAACAGTGAGAGGCCCACAAGACAAACAAACAAACAAAAAAAACACTTAGGAGACGAAGACAATGTGAGTGAGAAGCAGCAGGAAAAACAGACGCCAGAAGCAGACCCATGGGTGATGCTTCCAACGCTGCAATTAAAGGCAGACTGTCTAGTCCGTTGGGGCTGAAATAACAGAAAACCATAGGCTGGTGCCTTGTAAACAACAGACATTTATTTCTCATAGTTCTAGAGGCTGGACATCCAAGATGAGGGTGCCAGCCTGGTCGTGTGTGGACCTTCTAGGTGGGGACTCGCTGCTGTGTCCTCACAGGGGGAGGGGCGAGGGAGCTCGTGGGGCACTGGTCCCATTGTGAGGCCCCACCCTCACAACCTAACCATCTCCCAGTCCCATCACATCAGGGTTAGGATGTCAGCTATGACTTTTTATTTCATTTTTTCATTCTAACTTTTTTATTGAAGTGTAGCTGATTTACAATGTTGTGTTAATTACTGCTGTCCAGTTATACAGAAATATATATATTTTCTTTTTTAATATTCTTTTCGGGTTTTTGTTTGTTTGTTTTTGCGGTACGTGGGCCTCTCACCGCTGTGGCCTCTCCCGTCGTGGAGCACAGGCTCCGGACGCGCAGGCTCAGCGGCCATGGCTCACGGGCCCAGCTGCTCCGTGGCACGTGGGATCTTCCCGGACCGGGGAACGAACCCGTGTCCCCTGCATCGGCAGGCAGACTCTCAACCACTACGCCACCAGGGAAGCCCTATTTTTTTTTTTTAATAAATTTATTTATTTATTTTTGGCTGCATCGGGTCTTTGTTGCTGCATGCAGGCTTTCTCTAATTACAGCGAGCAGGGGCTACTCTTTGTTGCGGTGCACAGGCTTCTCACCGCAGTGGCTTCTCTTGTTGCAAAGCACGGGCTGTAGGCATGCAGCCTTCAGTAGTTGTGGCACGGGGGCTCAGTAGTTGTGGCGCACGGGCTTGGTTGCTCCACGGCATGTGGGATCTTCCCGGACCAGGGCTCGAACCCGTGTCCCCTGTATTGGCAAGCAGATTCTTAACCACTGTGCCACCAGGGAAGCCCCTCCATTATGGTTTATCATAGGATATTGAATATAGTTCTCTGTGCTCTGCAGTAGGACCTTGTTGTTTATCCTCAACCTGTGACTTTAACTGGGGGGAACTCAAACATTCAGACCACAGCATAGGCTGTAAAAGCAGCTATGGTTACTCTGCTTAGCAAGGTGAGAACTATATTTGAAATTGTACTGTTTTTCTATAATACATTATAAACTATAAACATGAAACTATAAAAAGTGGGATAGGTAAAGCACATCTGTGTAACCCACGATTACGACCATTATTAAAACTGAATCTCTGCACAATTCTCCAAAAAAAAAAAAAAAAAAAATGCAACCGCACAAACCATGAAAAATAGAAACCTCACATTTTCCGTAAGTAAAAAACACCAAAGTCCACCAGAGGTCGCTATTGAGACCCCGTCTCGAGACTTAATGGAGAACTAGGAAGGGCTACGGAGGAAAGAGGAGGTGGACAAGGGCCCTAAGATTGAGCTAAAATAGCCCCCAGGAGAGGAAAGCCACTCTGACTGCAAAACTCCGATGGATACGGAGCAGCCGCCAGGACGGGACCTTAGGGCCGCGCCGGGCTCAGGAGGAAGCTTCAGGGAAGCCTCACCTCTGGGAGGGCGGAGTGTTAGAAAGGGCAAGGGTGCCTTTCCTCACTGGGTAGCAGGAGTTAAAAAAACGCCTGTAAACATAAAACCCTTCAAGGACTTCCCTGGTGGCACAGTGGTTAAGGATCCGCCTGCCAATGCAGGGGAAATGGGTTCGAGCCCTGGTCCGGGAAGATCCCACATGCCGCGGAGCAACCAAGCCCGTGCGCCACAACTACTGAGCCCTCGTGCCACAACTACTGAAGCCCGCACACCTAGAGCCCGTGCTCCGCAACAAGAGAAGCCACCGCAATGAGAAGCCCGCACACCGCAACGAAGAGTAGCCCCCGCTCGCCACAACTAGAGAAAGCCCGCGCGCAGCAACAAAGACCCAACGCAGCCATAAATTAATTAATTAATTAAATAAATTAAAAAACAAGACAAAACATAAGACCCTTCAAGACAAAAGAGAACCAGACTTCACACACACACACACACACACACACACACACACACACACAACCCGGTACCCAAAATGCCATCCATTAAAGACAGTTTTCTGCACTCACATTAGCAGATGCATTTGAATTAGGAATCTTGTTAGTCACCCAAACTGCCAACCCCATGCAGGAAATGAATAGACTTCAGTAGTCTTTATACTTTGCTCCTAGAAGAAGAAATCGAAATAAGAATGAAAACATTTCATCTAATGGAAATCCCACCGAGGGGAAAGGGGGGTGCGTGGAAAGCAGAATAAAACTGTAACGTAACATTCCAAACTGAATTAAATATGCTGAAGCTTTGAAGGGCATTAAAAGAACATCTTGAATGAAGAATTTTTTTTTTTTTTTGCGGTACGCGGGCCTCTCACTGTGGTGGCCTCTCCCGTTGCAGAGCACAGGCTCCGGACGCGCAGGCTCAGCGGCCATGGCTCACAGGCCCAGCCGCTCCGCAGCATGTGGGATCCTCCCGGACCGGGGCACGAACCCGTGTCCCCTGCATTGGCAGGTGGACTCTCAACCACTGCGCCACCAGGGAAGCCCTGAAGAATTTTTTTAATTAACTAAAGAGCAGAAATGAGTAAAAGCAGGAAAGAATTAAATAAGAGCTGACTGTGCTCAGGAAACAAATTGACTATTGGGCTTTACTGATAAAGAAAAATTCTTCAGGGTCTCCAGGCAAAATGATCAAATTACTTTCAAGGGTGAGAGACATAAGCTGGCATCAAACTTCCAAGAGCAAACGACCAGGCAAGGCAAACAGAATTACACGCATAGCAGGAGATGTGCCCACGTCACTTCAACAAAGGTAGGGCTAATGGACCCACTGCAGGTGAGGATAAAGAAGCCCTAAAAAATCTAAGACAGGTCTTGAGGGTTTAATATATAATTGTACTCTTGATAACAGAGAGTAAAACATGCACAAAATTGATTGGTCACAGAGAAAGCATCGATGAGTTCCACAAAGTAGGAATATTACAAACAATATTTGTAATGGTTTGTTAACAATATTCTCTGACCAAAATACAATAAAACTGGGACTTCCCTGGCAGTCCCGGGGTTAAGACCCTGTGCTTCCAGCACAGGGCATGTGGGTTTGATCCCTGGTCGGGGAACTAAGATCCCACATGCCATGCAGCACAGCCAAAAAAAACCCCAAAACAGAACAAAATACAATAAAACTAGATTTTTTTTAACTTTCTATTTTAAAAAATACTATTGGATGAAAGGAAAAATACAAACTGAAATTACAGAATTTATTTAAAATAAATATCATAAAAATACCATGTAATTCAGGGTCAGCGGAAACATCATAACCTTAAACACACCATTAAAAATAAAAGAATGAGGGGCTTCCCTGGTGGCGCAGTGGTTGAGAGTCCGCCTGCTGATGCAGGGGACACGGGTTAGTGCCCCGGTCCGGGAAGCCCCCACATGCCACGCAGCGGCTGGGCCCGTGAGCCATGGCCGCTGAGCCTGCGCGTCCGGAGCCTGTGCTCCGCAGCGGGAGAGGCCACAACAGAGAGGCCCGCGTACCGCAAAAAACAAACAACAACAACAAAATAAATAAATAAAATAAAATAAAAGAATGAAACCAAATGCATTAAATTCCCAACTCTAAGAACTAGACAAAGATCAAGATAAAGTGTAGGATGTCACGAGGAAGGAAATAATAATGATAAAAGCGGGAAATAATAGAGTATAGAGAACAGCAGATATAATTAATGAACCAAAGTCCTCATCCTTGGAAAATTGAACAGAATTTTTCTGCTCATTTGGAGAATTATTAACAAAATCATTAGTATTTTTTAAAAATAACAGAATTAACCAACATGAATAAGAAAAAATGGAGAGACCGTAAAGACATGAAGTAAGAAGTGACAAGAGGGTGGGAAATGACCCTTGGGACCGAAGAAAAAAATGTTTCATCAACAGAAATTACTTTGCTGACCTCTAAGCAAATCGCTTTGAAGTCCTCAATGAGATGGATAATTTTACAGGAAAATTCAGTTTGCCAAAATTTACCCTATTAGACAAAGAGATAGATCTATAGATAGATAGTAGATAGATAGTAGATAGATGATAGATGATAGATAGATAGATAGATAGATAGAAATAAAACAGAAGCTATGAGGAAGGACTAGACTAATGGATGGCAGAATGGTACCCACGCGTGAATAGATGGGACGGTGGAGCAGAGTAAAAGTTCAGAATGTAAAGGCTGCTTTAGTTAGACCTTCACCTTCCAAATCCATCTCTGGCTCTTCTCAGGATCACTTTTTATTAACTTCTTTTTTTTTTAACCATAGGTCATATTTTCCTGTTTCTTTGTATGTGTAGTAACTTCTGTGCTAGACGTTACTGTTGGTGCACGGTGGAAGCCCTGGTCTCCATTATCACCCTTTGATTTGTGTCCCCCCCACCAAGTTCCTGTGCTAAAGCCCTCACGGCCCGATGTGGCCGTATTTGGCATTAGGGCCTTTTGGGGGGGATAAGTTTAAGTGAGGTCATAAGGGTAGGACCCTGATCCAGTAGGGCTAGCGCCCTCAGAAGAGGGAGGCACACCAAAGACCTATCTCCGTGTGTGTGCAGAGAAGAGGCCAGCGGGGGATGCAGCGGGAAGGCCACCGTCCACAAGCCAACAAGGGGGTCTCACCAGACACCAGCCCTCTCAGCACCCTGATCTCAGGCTTCCAGCCTCCAGAAACCTGAGAAAGTAAACTGTTGTTTCTGCACCACGCCCAGCAGGGTTCTGTGTTATGGAACCAAGCAGCCCAAGCCCAAGCAGACATCCTAGAATCTTCTATGGGGAATTCCCCTGAGGCAGACGACCATGCTCCCCCGAGCTCTGGCCTCACAGATCTGGGGAAAAGCCCAAATGTTCCTCAAGCACCTCGAATGTGTCAGAATTCGGTCTCCAAACATCTCCCCTGTGGGTCTGTTGGGACTCGGTTAAGGATTTGCTAAGGCGAGTCCCAGGTAGGTCCTCCCTCAGGGCTGGTCCTTACTCCTGCAGGGCTTACTGGCGGCTGGCTGGACGCCTGAGGGTCAGCAGGGTCTCTCCTCCCTGACTGGACCAGCACCCCAGCCCCCCAGCCGTGCTTGGAAGCCCGGTCACGCTGCTCTGCACGTGGGTATGAGGCTGACACCCGCCCACATTCTCTACCCTGCCCCAGCCGATGGAAGGAGGGGGGCGGGGATCACACATCACAGTGCAGATCCTGGGGTGAGACAATGCAGGGTGCCCCCAGGCCCTGATGAGGCTGCGCTGATCTGTGGGTGTGAGCCAGTGGGGGGCCGGAGGGCAGCCGTGGCCAAGGGCCTTGGACCCAGTGCCCGTGGATTTGAGTTCGGGGCAGTAGGGAGCCATGGGCGAAGGTAGACAGGCGCCGGCTGTGGTCACCTTTCCTTTGAGAGGGCTCAGGGAGCCCGGCCTGGGGCTGCCTCTGGCTCTCAGGGACCAGAGAAGACCCTAGGAGTGTGGCAGATGGCGCCCCCGTCCCCCTACCCCTGCACCGCCCCCAGGGCAGCCTGGCCTGCAGCCAACTCAGCCCCCTGCAGGTGGAGGTCCAGCCAGGGGTGGGACAGACGTGGTCACAGTAAACCCAGGCCACCTGAGAGTTGGGTTTGCTGTCCTTTTTAGGGCAGTCACAGAAAACACACCCCACCACCCCTACCTGTCACCCCTCGGCCCCAAGAAAGGCTTGGGGCAGCGGGTTTGGCCGTAGAGTTTATTCAGAGCAGATGCAGGTGGGCCCCCCAGGGCTGGGTGGCCAGGGGAGGCCGGGTGGGCGAGGCTCCCAGCATCCCGGATGGGGGCGGGGGCTCCCCTAGATCAGCTCCTGTGACATAGAAGGCCAGGGCCTCAGGGCGCCGCCCGGCCTCCAAGGACCCTAGGGGGCAGCGGTTGGAGCCACGGCCAGGAGTGGGTGTCCTAGCTGTGTGGCCTGGGCCTCAGTTTCTCTACCTGCAAAGCGGGGTAATAGTCCCAACCTCTCGGGGCCGTTGAGACAGAGGGGGTTGTGCAGCTGACATGCTAGCCCAGTGGGGGATCCGGGGAGCCTGAGAAGGGGCCCACAGGGCCTGCGCCTACCCCACCGCCCCCGGCAGGACCCTGCTGGATGGAAACGGGGGATGGGGGCCAGCCTCCTCCCCTCCCCCGCCCAGCCCTGCCCTCCCCCCACCAGCCTCCAGGGTCCCCTTCTGGCAGCCTGGTGTCACCACCCCGGAGGCCCAGGAACTACAGCGAGCCGGGGCTCCCCTCAGGCCAGGACTCGGGTGGGGCTCAGACGGGGCAAAGGCTTACCTCCCGGTAGGACGGGACAGCGCGAGGGGCTGCAGGACAGGTGCCCGGACCGCACTCTCAGCCCAGCCTCTGTGACCAGAGGAGGAGCTGGCCCAGAACAGACAGCTGACGGCCTCGACCCTCAGGCAGCCGCTCACGGCTCGGCCCACTGTCTGGACCTCAGCTCTGTCTGCCCCAGACAGCCCCACCGCCCCTCGGACCCCAGACTCCTCTTCCAGGTGTGATGGGAAGGCCTGGTGGACAGAGCCCCAGCCTCAGAGTGGGGGCAGGAACTCACCACCTAGGGCAGCAAGTTCACGCAGGTCACTGCGGAGAAGAGAAGACGGTGACGCGGGGAGATGTGTGCCTGGAGAGAGGCCTGCCCCGGGGCCCGGACACTCACAGTCCTTGGAGAGCGGCTGCACATCCACTGCTGACAGCCCGTGCTCCATGGCCTTTACGAGGAGCCTGTCCATGGCTTTTTCGTTGTGTTCCACCATCCGGCCTGAGAGGAAGGGCTGCCGCTGGCTGGGGGGGCACAGGCGGAGACTGGAGCCACAGACACACTCCCTGCCCTGTCCTGTGCCCCTTCCTGCCCTACCCCGTCCCCCTCCCTGTCCTGTCCCTTTCCCTGGCTGTCCCGCCCATCCCATCCACCTCCTGGCCCTCTCCTGCCCCTTCTCTGGGCTGGGACAGGGCAGAGGTAGAGTAGAGACTCCCCCGTGGGCTCACTATAAAGTTTCAGGACACTGTGGGCCTTCCCTCCTTTGTGGAAGACAGTGTTCATGATGCCGTACGTCTCGTAGTCCGTGGCCACCACAGCGACCTCTTTGCCTCCTGGGAAATGAACCAAACACAGGCCTCCTGGGCTCTGGGTGGGGACCTCCCACGGGCCACGCCCCTGGGCCCACCCCTGCCTCATAAAGGACACACACACTGTGGGCAGGGAACCCCGCTGACCAGGACAGGAAGACGCCTGATCGACATTGTCAAGGATTTCAGAGAGGAAGTCCTGGCAGCTGAGGCCAGAGGCTGGGGGCTGGAGACGGCGGCTGGGGGGCTTCCATACGGGCTTTGCACTGAGCCTCATGCCGAGGGCTCTGGGCCGGGTGACCAGTAGCACCGCACTGAGGCCAGGTCCCCACGGGAAGACCCTCGGTGCCCCGTGTGACTGAGCAAGGGCCGCATGTGGCGGGACACGGCGTCCCCACCTGGTCCAGTCCACAGGGAAGGCACGGCTAGAGGGCCCCAGCCTACTGGGCACCACGTTGGCCTCCAGGCTGAGCGGAGTGCAGGGCAGGGAGTGAGGACCGGGCCCCCGCAGGCAGCTCTTGCCAGACTCCATAGGAAGCTTGAACTTCCCGGGGGCGAGAGACCCCTTCCCAGCCTGGCTCTTCCTCCTTCACACAGCGGCTCATGCTGCAAAGAGCAGACGCCTGCCAGCCCAGCAGCCGCCTGCCAGCCCAGCAGCCTCCAACCCCGCCACGCCATTGCTCTGGACCAGGGGCAGCCCCGAGACCACCCGGGAGCCCCCAGCCACCCGGCCGGGCAGGAGGAGACCACCCTCTGGGAACAAACTTCTGCAGTGAAAGTGTGCCCACCTCTGAGGCTCAGACCAGGGGTCCTCGGAGGGGCCAGAGACACCTCCCCAGCCCATACACGTTCTAGGGGAGGTGTCCAGGCCGTGGGCGTGCGAGCCTGCAGACAGCATGGGCTCATCCACGGTGCCTGGGCTGGGGCAGCCTCGTGGGGAGGCCCCGACACCCGGCAGGGAGGGGTCCCGGGCGGTGGGGCCAGAGGCCGAGCCCCAGCCCGCACTGGCCCTGAGGCTGCAGGTCACCTCCTCCGCCGTCTTAGAGAATGACGGCCCCCTGCACTCCTGCTCTGCTCTGCGGACCCCTCATCTGGGAAGGGTTGTACCCCCAATGTCCTTCTGCCCAAAACCCACCCTCATCCCAGCAGGGTGACCGCGTGGCACAGGGGAGAGAGGCGCCACTCACTGGTCAGACACGGAGGTCGGGGCCAGGTGGGGCCCCTCCTGCTGCGCCATTACGGCCCCCATCTTCTTTGGGGCGAGCCCTGGGGCTCCAGGTTGGGAGCGAAGGCAATCTCGTACCAGGTACCTGAAAACGGGGGGGATGGAGAGCTGGAGGGGGCGGCCCCGGGGGAGCCGCAGCCAGGATCAAGGGCCACCCCCCGACCACAGAGCAGGACAGTGGTCTGGGAAATTCCAGGGCCCCGCACGCTGTGGAGCTAGCGGGGGGCTCCAGAGGCAGCAGGTCCTGCAGGGTCTCCCAGGCACGCCGGGGCGGGCCTGCCCCCAACGGCAGGCGCCCTGACCCGGCCACCTGGGCAAAGCCGAAGTCCTTCAGGCTCAAGTCCTCCACACCGGCCGCCAGCGCCAAGAACAGCCCCAGCAGGGCTGTGAGCACCTTGCCCCTCATGTCTGGCAGGCAGGGGCTGGGGCCAGCTCCCCAAAGCTGCAGGACACCGGCCTCGGCACCAGTCCAGGTTTATACCCTTCCCTGTGGGTGTCGGGGAAGGCACAGGCTGGCTTCATTACGCAGTCTGGCAGCTCACACGGCCGCCCACCAGCCGGCGGGGCCAGACCCGAGGGGGATCCACCCATGGGGCGTGGGTTTCGCCGCCCAGGTTCCCTCCTGTGTTCATTCGCCTGATCCGCTCGCCTGCAGGCTGGGCCCCAGGCCGCCCAGGTGCTCAGACCATGTCCCGTGGTCAGAGGGGCCTCCAGGGCCCCCAGGCTCCAGGGTGAGGGGATGGGGACATGAAAGGGCACGAGGTGCTCTGGGAAGCACTTTGGGAATGTGTGCTGAGGGCGTTCGGCAGGCAGGGCCCCCCACAGCACCAGGACCCAGCAGCTGCCCAAAAGGCTCCAGCAGGAGCCCCCTCAGCAGCTCCCAGTACACGGCCCACCTGGGAGCCCCAGGCATGCTCAGGACGTGGGCGCGTGCCCCCCAGGGCCTGCCAGCTGAGTAGGCGTGGGGCAGGACCAAGGACATGGTGCCCACACGACTCTGACTCTGTGCAGCCCAGCCCACCCTGGGCTGCGGGCAGCAAGGAGTGGGCCAGGATGTCCTGACGCCTGCAGCCCTGCTGGCCGACTGAGTCCTTTGAAGAAGCCATATGCTCAGCGATTGGCCAACCAGCAGCATCCTGCCAACCGGACAGTGACCAAAGGCAGCCCCGCCTGCTGGTACTCGCTTCTCACCCACAGGATCGTTCCCCCAGGCGGGGACAGCGTCTCCCCATCTTACGGGTGAAGAGCTTCACGAGCAGAGGGCGGAAGGCACTTGTCCGAGTCCACACAGCAGACACGCGGCGGCCCTTGTAATACCAGCTGCCTCCTTTGCCCTTGACCCCACCCCACCTCCAAGTGCCACAGCTGTCCTCACAGGTAGACAGGCCAGGTGAAGGCTTCCCAGCACACAGCAGACAGTAGCCAAGTCAGAGGGGTGGGGGAGAGACAGAGGAACAGAGACAGAGAGAGAGATAGACACAGAGATGCCGAGACAGAGAGACCGAGAGAGAATACAAGGGGGCAGGGTGGGAGAGATGCACACGGAATGCAGAAACAACTCTTGGGATCCCGGCTCCAAGGAGAGCTGAGCGGTTGTGCCCCTGCAGATGGAGCAAGGCCTCACGGTGCTCAACTCACCCCACCTCCTCATGGCAGAAGCTCCAGGGCAGCTGGTTTCACCTCTGTTGACCCCGCCACCCCCACCTGTCACCCCTCGGCCCCAAGAAAGGCTTGGGGCAGCGGGTTTGGCCGTAGAGTTTATTCAGAGCAGGTGCAGGCGGGCCCCCCAGGGCTGGGCGGCCAGGGGAGGCTGGGTGGGCGGGGCTCCCAGCATCCCGGATGGGGGCGGGGGCTCCCCTAGATCAGCTCCTGTGACACAGAAGGCCAGGGCCTCAGGGCGCCACCCGGCCTCCAAGGACCCCGGGGGGCAGTGGTTGGAGCCACGTCCAGGAGTGGGTGTCCTAGCTGTGTGGCCTGGGCCTCAGTTTCTCTACCTGCAAAGCGGGGTAATAGTCCCAACCTCTCGGGGCCGTTGAGACAAAGGGGGTCGTGCAGCTGATGTGTTAGCACAGTGGGGGTCCCGGGGAGCCTGAGAAGGGGCCCACAGGGCCTGCGCCTACCCCACCGCCCCCGGCAGGACCATGCTGGATGGAAACGGGGGACGGGAGCCAGCCTCCTCCCCTCCCCTCCCCTCCCAGCCTCCAGGGTCCCCTCCTGGCAGCCTGGTGTCACCACCCTGGAGGCCCAGGGGCTCCCCTCAGGCCGGGCCCTGGCAGGATGACCAGTGTCTTGGTGGGAGAACGGGCGTCTGGGGCGCGCGCAGGATGGGGAACAGCGAGGCCAAGCAGAGCTGGTGTGCAGGGCCAGAGGGCTGTGGCTGCAGCTGCAAGGAAACGGCTCTTACCAGGAAAACAAATTTCTCCGAAACATTGACTTCCAAGCTCACTATTTGTTCAGTCACATGGCTTCCTGAACTGAGAGGCAGGAAAGTACTCGTTAGGAAAATGCCAGCCTGCATTCCTTCTGCTGGGCACACTCCCAGGGCGGGGGGCGGGGGGGGGTGGGGGCAGGGGGGGGTGGG